TTCTGTAATTGAGGCATGTTGAGAATAGAGATTGTGAGAATGTGCTACTCAGAGAATAGCCCTTAATTGGCAACACTGGTGTCACAGGGAAGCCCATTAGAAATGCACAACTTCAGACTCTACTCCAGACCTGCTGAATCAGAATTTGCATTTCACAAGCTCCTCAGCTGATTTGCACGCACATTAGAGTCTCAGAAGCACTGGTGTCAGAAACAGACTGCCAGCTCGGGGTGAGAGACCTGAGTTTTAGCCCAAGTTCTGCCTCTACCCAGCTCTGAGGCCCTTCCTGGACTTCAGAGGGTGGGCTGGGGGTGAGCTAATGACCCGCAAGTTTCCTGCTAACTCTGGGCTACTATCACTGTGTCACAGCCCGGCGGTTCGGACTTGCTCTGTCATTTCAGGAGGCTTCCAAGAAGGGCGGGCTCCAGGGCCTCTGAGGTCCTGACACTCCTTCCCTCTGCTGCCCAGGGGCCCCTCGCCTGTGAGCTGGTGAGAACTCCTGCGGGGGGACAGTGCTGCTGTGTGCTGAGGACATGTCCTCACTCCATGTACCTGAACTCCTGGCAGCCCAGTGTTCAATCTCTTGTTATGAATTAAGCTGCGAGTAATCTGGGAAAAGTGCATCCAGTCAGAGAGCACTGTCCAACAAGAAAGCCCTTGTCCTGAGTGGCCTTTAAGAAAACAGCTGGGTCAGCCTCTGTGCCTTGGCTCTCGGAAAGTCACGTGACCACAATGCTTACCTTTCACACAGGAAACCTCCCCCAAACTAATAAAACGCCGTCTTTAGGGAATTTGGAGGTTTCGGCCTCATCGAAGGGTTAAAATAAAACCACATGCATTTTCAGATTTGATACATGAGTTAATTAACATAAATTGGGCAGGAAAGATGTCCAGTGGCCCAAATCAATAATCAAGATTTCATATGGGAATGTTTAATCTGCTTGATAGGATAAACTGGTTTTAAAGGCCTCATATTACTACCCAAGGGGGCTTCGTCTGCTCACTGCAAGACATGCCAATAGTCAAGAGGCAAGGTGGTAGGAGAGAAAGGGTTTTCTATTATACAGCTTGCTAACAAGAGGGGAAGATGGCTGACTACTGTCCGAAAGAACAAAGACTATAGGCCACTTATGTACGGGGCTGGCCGCCAGGTGGGGCTGCTGACTGATCTCTGAGTGAGGGCAGACATCTGGCCCCAGTTCCTGATAGTCCTTTGTTTTACTGGATATGCATCAGAGAATGGAGCATCACCCTATACTCTGATCTTTCAGTTGTCATTGATGATGGTTACCAGCATAGACACTGCCTGGGGGTCATCACATTCCTAAGGAACTCAAATGAACAAAGTTATCAACTTAAGGCAGCTGGGAGAGGCCATAAAATCTACAGAGCATATCTGGGTTAGTTAATCAGAGGTCATTCACAGTTACAATATAGTACAATATAGTTACAATATACAATTCTCTTCTACAATTTGGCTTCCCTTATGTCAACCTTGTGTTGAGCCAGTATCACTCAGATACGTCAGTTTTCATATAAAGCAAATTTTCTTAAGGCCAGCTCTACGTTGCTGACTTACCCAATGCTCACATGGATTGCATTTTCTATTCTTTAAACAGCCCATCATCCTGACTTTTTTATTAATTTCTGCCCATTTTCTCTCAAATCTGCCCCAATGAACTAAGCATCATTTTTGGCTGTGAGATGTTCCCATCTACTATTGGAGGAGTTTGATTGTCAGATGAAGTTTCTTTTGGTTGTCGTTGAGAGAAAGTTTTGGTCCCTTTTTTGACTTGTATTGATTGAAGCCTTTTGACCACACACACATGGCCCAAAGCTTCCACTTCCCTCCCGGAGCAGGCTCTTTCCTGTTCTCTTGTCCCCTTCCAGTTTGCTTTCTACAGTCAGAAGATCTTTGCTTGCGGTTCTTGATCTGCATCTGAAACCAGCAGAGAGTTAGCCATTGATGATTCAGTAGCTAGGAACTAAAGGTCTTTTTCCTTTTTTGCAATTACTGATTATAGCTTTTATCTGTTTAACTCACTCATTGTTAACTGTGCTGTTTAAGCAATGTGCTAGGTGACTCCCACTAGGTTCCTATTGATAACATCTCCCTAGAACCTGGGTCACCATGGTAACGGGCATTTGAGCTGTGCTTCAGGAATTAGCACCCCTTTGTCCACTCCAGGCTGGTTGAGACCACCAACTGATCAACTGGGCCCATGCAGATGTCCGATAGTTGACCTTTTGATGTCAAAAGGCTACAAACGCCACATTCAGATCACGCTCACACCACCATTTTGTGAGCATGGGTCCTATGAAGAGGCCTGGAGTCTGACTACCTTGCACAGATCATCAATTACCTCACGTCTCCTCACCTCCAATCACCTCTCTCCACATTTCAGACCACCTTGCTCCCTATCCCATAAATATCCCTGAGTCCCTATTTTCAGGGAAGCAGATTTGAGACTCATGCTCTGGCGTCCTCACATGGCTGCCTTGTGATTAAATTCTCTCCCTCTGCTGCAAACTCATTGTCTCAGTGTGTGGCTTTCTGGGCGGCAGGCAAAAACGAACCCAGCACAGTAACACATCCTTTGACAGGCAGCTATGAGGTATGTCAGAGCCGTTTGCTGGGAGCATCGCTGGCCTGGAATGGAGGCAGAGCCCTGGTGTTTGTGGAGAGAGGAAACACTGCAAAAACAATGGATTGAGTTTTCTGCAGACTGGCTCAGGGGCAGGGGTGAAGGGGAAACATATGCTTGATGGGATAGAAATCCTTATCCCCTGGAGCCTCAGTGGTTTGTCTCTAAGGCCATATGTTGGGATCCGAGTAGGAATGATGGGAAGGGAGCCAGCTCTGTAGCTGGAATCCTCACCACATTGTTTTGATTCTGTCAGGAGAGCAGCTACTTCTGTGAAAACAACGTCAGATTCTAACAGTGATTTTCTGCGACAGAAGGGAGGTTTTTGTTGTTGCCTTCTCTTTTTTATACCAGCTCTGTGTATCTGTCTTTCTTTTAATGGGGACTAGGATAGTCTTGCATCAAAAGATTAGACGGGTGTGCAAAACGTATTGCTGCTTTTTTTTCGAAACAGGCAGGACCCTGGAAACATCCAAGGACGCACCAAAATGAAAATCGCTCAGGTAAATTATGATACATCCCAACCAGGAAATATACAGACAAAAATATTGAATAAACAAAAAAGACAACGAGAGGCAAATCTCGGTACACTGATGTGACATTATCTCCAATATGCAAAGTTAAGGGTAAAAAAGTAGGAACCAAGAGATGGTAAGAGCGCGTGCGGTCAGCATGCGGAGGGAACCGGCCGTGTGTGTACAGTTACTTGAATAGCTATGCGCACAGGCATGCAGGCGTGGAAACCTGTGGGAGGATGCTCGAGACGGTAGCACTCACTGCCTCCTCGGGAGAGAGAAGTTTGGGAGAGAGACCCTATTCTCACAGGACGCATTTTTGTTCTCTCTGAAATGTTTTACGTTGTGTATTACAGATTTAAATAAACAACCAAACAAGCAAAATAACCACGCAGAGGAAGAGCGCTGCGCGGGAATAGCTGCGGGTGACCTGGGGGCTTCAGGAGGAGGTGCCCCCATCGGGCCTGGTGCAGCCACAGGGGGCCTGAAGCCGCCTCCGCCGGCAGCGCCGGGCACCTGGCTCCCAGGCCGGGCGGCCGCGAGGACGGCTCCGCCTCTGAGGTTCTCTGAGGCTCCGAGGACCCGTCGCGGCAGGTCGCTGATTGACTGAGGTTTTGGGGGACAAAAGCAGAGGCCTGCTCTGCCAAACGTCTTCTTCCGTCCCGCCCGATGGCCGCCCTCGAGCCGTTCATTTTCTGTTTATGAAAACACTGGGGTGGATTTAGCTTTTCCTTCGGGAAACAAAACAACACAAAGAGCATGTGTGCGGATCTTCTCTCAAAATAGTGGGCGTTTGAAGCCGGCGCTGCAGCTGCAGGGGCTGTTTCAGTCCCGGGCATTTCGTTTTCTAAAAACGCCTTAAAAAGATGCCAAAGAGAGAGCCCTGAGCCCTTCCGGAAACGGAGTGTGAAAGCCTGGATCTGTCCGTCCTTTGCAAAAGATCAGTTCCTCTGGGCAAGGCTTCGCCGCGTCTTAACGTCATGGCACGCGGAAAATGACATTATTTGAAGAGCATTTGGGGTCAAATCGGAGGGAATTTGAGAGCATCTCTATGAAACTTATTTAAAAAATTAGTTTTTTTATGTCATGGGATTATGATAAAATATGTATAAAGTATTAGAGAAGATATTGTATTTGTTTAAAACTTCCAAATCAAATCGGTTCAAATTTTTAAATGAGAAAATTGAGCTTGTTTCCATGAATATTCCTTTTTCTTTTATTATGGAAACATTTCAAACATATGCAAATAAAGAGAAGAGTATAATAACCAACTCCCCTCTATCTTTCTAGGACCTAGATTAAACAGTTACCAACATTTCAGATTTCATATCCATCCTCCCTTTTTTGCTAGAATCTTTAAAAGCTCATCTCAGGCATCATTTTATTTCATCTGAAAATTCCTCAGTATAAATCTCTAACAGACAGGATTTAAAAGAATAACCATGATACCGTTATCACTTCCAATAAGTTAAAAAATAATTTCCCACTATTATCTAATACCCAGTCCAAGTTCAGTTTTCTTCATTTGTCTCAAAACTGTCTTTTTACTGTTGATCTATTTGAGTCAAAATCAAAACAAAGTTTGCAATTGATTAATATGTCTTTGAAGCCTCCTTGCATCCATACACAGACATGACTTTGTTTTGTGTAAACTAAATTGTATTTATTCATAAATTATACCCTATTTTTAAATATATATGTACATTTTTAAAGATTGGCACCTGAGCTAACATCTGTTGCCAATCTTCTTTTTTTTTCCTTCTCCTCTCCAAAGCCCCCTAGTATATAGTTATATATTCTAGTTGTAGGTCCTTCTGGTTGTGCTATGTGGGACATCGCCTCAGCATGACCTGATGAGTGGTGCCATGTCTGCGCCCAAGATCCAAAACTGCAAAACCCTGGGCCACCAAAGCCAGTGTGCCCACCCAACCACTTGACCGCTGGGTGGCCCCTACCCTATTTTTAAAAATAGCTTTATTGACATACAATTCACATACTGTGGTAGGCTGAAAAATGACCCCTCCTATCACCTGCCAAGATATCAGATCTTAATTCTTTGAACTTATAAATGGTACCTCATATGGAAACAGGGTTTATACAGATGTAATAAAGTTAAGGATCTTGAAATGGGGAGATTATCTTGGATTATCAGAGTGAGCCCTAAATGCAGTCATGTGTATCCTGGTCAGAGGGAGATCTGACACACACTGATGCTGTGCGATGGGGGAGCAGAGAGAGATTTGGAGATGCTGGCGGATTGGAGCGATGCAGACCACAAGCTGAGGAAAACCAGCAGCCCCCAGAAGCTGGAGGAGGCAAGGAATGGATTCTTCCTGGATCCACCAGAGGGAGCATGGCGCTGCCAGCACCTTGCTCGTGACCCATGACACTGAGTGGATTTCTGGCCTCGAGAACCTTGAGAGAATGAATTTTTATTGTTTTAAGCCATCAGGTTTGTGGAGATTTGTTACAATAGCCACAGGAAAACTCATACACATACCATACAAATCACCCATTAAAAGTGTACAATTCTAGAATTTTTAGTATATTCACAGAGTTGTGCAACCATCGCCACAATCAATTCTAGAACATTTCATCACCCCACAAAGAAACCTTGTACCAATTGTCCGTCACCCTCATTCCCTCCACCTCCCCAGCGCTAGGCGACTGTTAACCTACCTTCTGTCCTCTATAGATTCGTCTATTCTGGGCATTCATGTAAATGGAATCATACACTACATGGTCTTTTGAGTCTGGCTTCTTTTGCTCAGCTTAGTGTCTTCAAGATTCACCCATGTTGTAGCGTGTATCAGTACTTCATTCCTTTTTACTGCTGAATAAGAACATGACTTTGTAATATCAGTTTATAAATTTAAAATGTCTGTGAGAAAATCCTGATCAAGACCTTTTTTAAAATGGCAATCTTTTCAAAATATTGGTAGTCACCACAGAAATTTTGAGAAGCCAGTGATTAAAAATGTTTAGTCTATTAAGGCCATTATAAAATTTATAATGGTTGAAATTCTATTTAAAGACTCTAACAGCTGATTCTTTGCTCTCATTGACAAATGTGATGTTGGACTTTCTTGTGGTAATGTGAATTTTAAGTCCAATAGGAGTTTTTCATAGCAAATGTTTCAAGATACTGATAAAGCCTGTTAGTGCTTGAGCACCACTAAGAGAGCACAGTAACCACCAATGGGCAGATGTACAGGATGGATGTGGAGACAAAGAGTGGGGCCACACCTGAAGCGGGTGTGCTAGCAGCCTCAGCTCAGCCTCTTAGACCTGCTGCATGTCTGCCCGGCTCCTTCCCTAGCACCTGAGACAGCCCTCGATCACGGGGACGGAGGTGTGCTGCAGTGGGCCACTGAAATAGACAGCCAGATGGCAGGGCATCTCCTTGGTCTCTCTCATCCTGTCATGTTGGGACAAGGACTCTGGGTGTCTCTTGTGTCCTTTATTGTTCTCAACCCATCAGAGCCCACTCCCCTGGGCCTGCCCTTTGAGGAGCCTTTGACAGATTTCTCTAAGTCAGAGGTATCCAACAGCCCTGTGTCCCATTCATGGTTCACATTCAGCGCACCCATTGCAAAGCTCTGCTCCAGGTTGGCTATGAGCGTTTGGGGCCTGTATGTGATGAAAAATAGCAGCAGGGCACATGGAATTACCCTTGGTTTTGCAGTCTTGTCAAATTTCTATGGACCAATGACTGCTTCAGACCTCTCATTTCCTTTCTTCCTGAGCTTTAGTACCTATCCTGGCATTGACATTGTATCCTGGGTGTTTGGGAAGTAGATAACTTGTCACATTATATCACAGATACTTCTGATGAAGAGGAACCATATCCAAGGAGCTATACCCGAGGAAGCCCATCTTCATCTGGGTTCAGGGGATGAGGTCATGGATTTTGAGTAGATGCTACAATGAGATGAGATTCTGGCGGTCTTGGAAGGGGGTGAGTGTATTTTGCATTTGGCAGGATGCACATTATTGTAGCTAGATGATGGAATGTCTCAAAAATAGGCGCCATCTATTCCCTCACTCTATGCATCCTCATGCCACTCCTCCATTAAGAGGTCGGTTTGTTTCCCCTCCCCTGGAGTCTGGGATGGCTCTATGACTGCATTGGCCAATAGAATACAGCAGAAGTGAGGTTCTAAAATTTGTGTGGAAATCCAAAGACCTAGAATGTCCAGAAAAATCTTGAAAAAAAGAGTTGGAGGACTCACAGTGTACTTTAACTTTGCAGTTAGTTGAGTGGGGAATCGGTGTAAGAACAGACGTATGGATCAATGGAACAGAATAGAAAGTGCAGAAATAAAGCCACAGGTATGTGGCTAATTGACTTTTACAAATGCCCCACAGTAATTCAGTGGAGAAAGAATAATCTTCTCAACAAATCATGTTGGAAAAACTAGAACAAATGTGTGAAGAAAATGAATCGCAACCCCCATCTCATACCACGTATAACAATTAATTCAAAATGGATGATAGACTAAACATAAAAGCTACAGCTATGAAGTTTTTATAAGAAAACATAGGAGAAAATCTTCTCAAACTTGGGTTGGTAAACATTTCTTAGAGAGGATACAACAAGCACCAAACATTATAGAAAAAATTGATGTATTGGACATCATTGAAAAATTTAAAAATTTGCTTTTCAGAGGCACTATTAAGAAAATGAGGAGGCCGGCCCCATGGCCAAGTGGTTAAGTTTGCGCTCTCTGCTGTGGCGGCCCAGGGTTTCACTGGTGCGGATCCTGGGTGCGGACATGGCACTGCTCATCAGGCCATGCTGAGGCGGCATCCCACATGCCACAACTAGAAGGACTCACAACTAAGAATATATAACTATGTACTGGGGGCCTTTGGGGAGAAAAAAGGAAAAATAAAATCTTAAAAAAAAAAAGAAAATGAAAGGCTAGTCATAGACAGTGGGAGTAGGTATCTGAGTAAGGACTTGTATCCAGATATATAAAAAATTCCTACAAATCCATAGCAAAATAAAAACAGGCAAAAGACTCAAAAAGACACTTCATAAAAGAATTTATAAGAATGGCCACTAAACGAATGGAAAAGTGTTCAATATCATCAAATTAAAATCACAGTGAGAGGCCACATAATCATTAGAATGGCTAAAATTAAAGTCTGACAACACAAACGTTGGAAGTATGTGGAGCAACTGGAATTCTCATAATTTGCAGGTGAATTATGAATTAAAAATGAAGAGTGCTCATAATTTTTTTGCTTAAAAAGTTATACACACCTACTCTATGACCCAGCAATTTCACTCCTACATATTTACCCAAGAGAAATTAAACCATATGCCTATAACAAGACTATATTCGAATATTTGTATAAGAATATTTATAGCAGTTTTATTCATAAGAGCCAAAATGTGAAAACAACCTAAATGTCTGTTAATAGGAGAATGGATTAGCAAATGGTGATGTAGTTGTGCAATGGGAATACAGCTCGGCAACAAAAAAGAGGAAACTACTGATACACACAACGACACAGAGATCTCAAACACTGTGCTGATGAAAGAAGCTAGCCATGAAGAGTGCGCACTGCACGATTCCATTCGCATAAAGTTGAAGAGGCACAACTAATCCACGGTGATAGAAATCAGAACAGAGGAAGCCTCGGAGGGTAGGGTGGGAAATGACTGCAGCGCGGGCACAAGGACTGTCTTGGGTAGATGGAGATGTTCTGTATCTTGATGGTGACGCTTCCATAGGTGTTTACATTTAACGAAACTCATTAAATTATGAACTTAAGATATGTGCAGTTTACTCTGTATACATTTTGCATCACTTAAAAAATTGTGAGTGTAGAAAACCTATATGGATTAGTGTCTCCTAGGCCTCATCATTTAGGTCTCAGTTTGAACGTTACCTCCTTGGAGAGACCTGCCCTGACCGGAGATGGCTGCCCTTGCTGCTCAGACTGTATCACGTAACCCACTTTTATTTTCTCCATAGTGCTTATCTGTATCCAAAAGCACATTTAAAAAATGAATGAATCCAGTAATTAAGTGATTAGTTGCTCCACTACCTCCCAGTACAGTGTAAGTTCTGTGAAAACAGGGACTATGTCCATTTTGTTTTCGGCTTTGTCCCCAGTGCCTGGCACATTGGGTTTGCCCAATAAACATTTGTTGTGATTGAATGAATGATGGATACAAGAGCAGAAAAATTAAACTGACTAATAGAGATTTTTCCTTCTGTTTGTAGAACGTGGGCTGGGCAGCATATGAGGAGGCTTACCCTCATCAGTTACCGACTATCCAGCTCTTCCATTCCTTCCAGAAACATTTTCCAGGTGCCTCCTGTGTGCTGAGTGCTGATGGAAGCCTTGCACACCAGGCGCAAGCAGGTGATCAGTGAGACTGAGACAGGTGTGCCGTGGGAAGGGCCAGGCTGGCTCCTGGAAGCAGGGCAGGCTCCTTAAATCCCCACATGCTTTGGAACATCTATCTTTAGGTCCATTTTACAGATGAGTAAAATGAATTTTTATTTCAAGGGTAGTAACTTCCTGTTAAAGTTTTAGAGCAGAAGAATGAGACAACCAAAATCAGGGCCTGAGGAGGCTAGTTAGGACCCACCCATCATGGGGGACGGGGGCCTGAGCAATTGGAAGGAAGAAGTGATGGGTGAAAGACATACTTCACCCACAATAGTAGCTTTTATTGTATATTCTCTATAGAGGAGGCAGGACTTGGCTGTTAAATTTTATTTTTCTTAAGAAACCTTCTTTTATAACTATTTTATAAGATTTACAGGATTGCCATGCAATTTGTGCTTGTGGAAGAATTTTAGGCAAATGTTTTCAAATGTTACTCACTGATTGATCCACGGCTTCCAACAGCGTTTGTTGAATAGCACTTTAGCCAGAAAACGCCTTCCTTAGCCCTCACAGCCCCCTCTCCCCGAAACCAGAACTCAGCCCTTTTAGTTGATCACAATCCTTAGCCCTCTCCCCAAGCTTTTCCTGATCGCTGCTAGTTCACACACTCCTTTCCCAGGAGACCTTCAAGACACAAGCTGCCGCTAGCCAGCCTGGGGGGCACTGTCAACAGCCCTCTCAGGAAGGAGCAAACAGCTGGTCTCTGAGTCCCTGAGGGAGGAGTAAGAGGAAGCAGATTTAAATTTCAACAGGGACAACACAGGCCTGACACAAATGACAAGTGTCGAATTCTACAAGATTTCCTTAATTGGGCCTAAAAAGAGCAGCAGACTAGGTAGCTATGTGCAGAATGATTTGGGTATATTTCTGCCTGGAAGCAGAGATTTATGACTCCTTGATTTTTTTTTAAAGTTTGTTTATTTTTAGATTTGTAAAGTAACATTTGCTCACTGTTTCAAATTCAGAAAATATAGAGTGACACATAGAAGATAAATATTTCTCACTCATAGTCCCACTACCCAGTCATAGCCATTAACAGTTCGATGTATTTCCTTCCAGTTATTTTCATATATATATATGTATAAAGTGTGTGCACAATTTTGCATGTTGATGTCTCTCATTTAGTGTCTTCCTACATTATTAAATATCCCCCAAAGCCTATTTTGAATGACTTTATAATAATCTTTTTGTAAGAATAGATCATAATTACTATTACCATTTCCTTATTTATGTCAATTTAGGTTGTTTACAATTTCTCAATATTAATAAATAAGACCTGAGATCAAAAGCTTTACATTTAAATCTTTATCTCCATTTATGAATGCTTCCTTCGAAGAGATCCTTCTAGAGCAGCTCTTCTTGTGGTATGACAACCTAACTATCTCCAACAGGATCAGACATAAATTCAGATCAGAGGCCCCACCTGGACCTAAATAATCTGAATGTCTGAGATCTGGGCCCAGGAATCTGCCTGTTATAGAAAATTTCCTGAGATTTTTTTAGGCACACTGAAGGTTAATATCTTTGACATATGGTGTCAAATTGCTTTCCTACAAGCCTTTTACACTTTACACCCCCACCAGCGACAGATGAGGGTGCTTAACTCAGCAAACTCGTGAAAAACAACAGCTAATTTGATAGGTGAAAAATGCTGACTTCATGAAAGTTTTTATGGATGTAACGTTTGTACAATTATTTTTGTTTAGTTAATTTCAGATTTTTCTACAGTGATATATTCTTATAGTTTTAAAACTAGTTCTTTGAAAATACTTGATGGTGTTTTTTTCTTTTAATGCATCGATATATTTGTACTACTTACATTTGATTTACATCTGTCACATTTATTTTCATACAATTGCAAGCTGCATGAGCACAAGGATTTTTTTGGTCTCTTTTGTTCATGGCTGCATCCTCAGTGCCTATAATGGTGCCAAAGACACAACAGGCTCTCAGTAAATATTCTTCAAGTGAATAAATAGGTGACCTCTAGATAGTGTTTCCCTGTACCGTGAACACAGAAACATGCACATCCACACACACATACACACACCTGTGGCAGCAGCAGGCCAGCTTCTACTCCATAATCTTGCTTTATGATTTCTTAAGGTCCCTTTCTGACCTGAGGTTTGACAACTTCCTTCTCCCTTACTGGTGACCCTATTCCAAGACATACCAGCAGCCGTGAACAGAAGACAGGAGACCCTTGGTCAGTGGATAAAATTACAGATGTGAGTAAAGTAAGTCTGATGACCAGCATTGCCACCACCTCTTGTCTCATCTGCTACAAAAGGTCCCTTTCTTTCTCAGGCCCCCTGGCCTGAGTTTATCCTGAGAATAAAGAAATGTGAGATTTAATTCTCAATGCTTGAATTTTGGGCAAACCGATTTCAGTTTATAAGGCATCATTTTTGGCCAAGCATTCTGTGAGAACTGTGATAGGATTGAAAGCCAAAAAATAAAACAAAACCAACTTCTGTCATGTTGACAAAGTGGTCATTCTATTCGAGTGTACGTGAAAACGCACGTTATCCTTTGCCTGAGCAAAACATCACCATTTCACCTCAGGAAGGTTACATTCTTCCTGACTCACACTTTCATGCTGCTCAAAGGTCCCTTTCTGCTGGTGGGACAAAAGAACGAAGGGCTTGCTTCCATGATATCCGCATGATTTGGCCTTTGAGGGTACACCTGGTGCACTGCCCTCATGTGCTTCCTCTTACCTTCTAGGACTTTTGAAAAATAAGAACAGGATCACAGGCTAATGGTGTGGAGTCTACAGTCTTTGACCTTGCCTGACTAAGTCAACCACATTTATACAAACTTGAGGAAATCCCCAGGTGCCAACTTGGGCTTTGGGGAAAATTTGTCTTCTTTTATCCTCATAAATGTAAAATTGTAGTACTTGGACCACTTCTTGGAAAAGAAACTATCTGTTTTTGTTTTATCTTCTTCTTTTTTGGTACTTAAAAGAGCAAGAGTTAGAGAAAAATGTGAGCAAGTTTTGAATGTTTGCTGGAGAGGGAGCTGCCATTTTCAAATCAGCCACTGGGTGCAAAGACTGGTCGATGTTGCCTGTAAACCTGTGGGCATGTCTGTAGCTGGGAAGCTAGGAACTCAATACGCCATCTTCACGTTACTCTAAATTGCCTTTCTGATTCCAGTTTGTTCTTTGGCGAGTTTGGGTGGCAGGAGCCAGTTTTTCCAGAGACTGCTCAGAACCCCAGTTTAAGCTCGTTCCACCAGGTCCTCCCCAGCTTCTGAAGCTGTGCACATAGAAAATGCACTTAGTGCTTTCCAGAAAATGGAGGTTCTCTATCCCATAGACTTAACACTTGCCTATTAACTGTTGCTGGAAAAAAAATTTTCTGGAAGTTTTTCATACAATAGAATGATCTAAAATTGACTATGAACATGCAAAGATTAAAGTAACCTCAAATATATTTGCTACCAAAGACAGACAACCCTCTTCCTTAAAGTGAGTTGAATACTGGAAATAAAGATTTGTAAAGTCAGAAGAGAACTAGATAAATTGGAGTCCATGGCTAGCCGGGACTAGGCAAATGCAATGGACTTTCCTTTGCTGTAGGTTCGAAGGTGGCAGCGCTGCACGTCTTTGTTCTTAGAACTCCTCATCGTCTTGTTAATCTGGAAGCTTCAGGAGTGGTAGGGAGCTTCTTGGTCTGTAAGTCCTTCTTCATTTTTCACCTAACAGGACATATTTAAGAGACCACGTCTCTCAAAACCATCTCTGGCAGGGTTGCTGCCAATATCTGCTCCTTGCAAACAGCAAGGAGACTTAAAAACAGCAACAGCACGTCTCTATGGGGCCCCCAGCCCTTTCTTTATAAATTCTTTCCCTTAATAAAGAGAAATTGTTGTGCTATATTGTGGCAGAGTTTGGGGCTTACAGAGATAGAATGGGAAGTAAAGGGTAACTGGCTGCCACTGTGCAGGCGCTCTCTGATTGTAAAACCAACCCAGTAACGGATAATAACCACCTTAGTGCGCTTATCAAGGCAGTTCCTCTCTGGGATGCAGAAGAGGCCACTGGAGACAACGTGCAGGCCTCTCACCGCTCCCGTTCATTAACAAGGCACTGCTGGCTGCAGCTCAGGCTCCATTACCTAGAGGCAACAATGGCCGGGACCCACATTGAGTTGTAATTAGGCTTGATCAGGGCGAGGGTGCAGTTGCCATAATCAGGATCACTCGGAATTAAATGTATACTTGTGAAAGGAAATGAGGGGAGATTGATTTAATGGTAACCAAAGCAACCCCCTTTTCTGTAACCGTCTAAGCTTAAAGAGAGAGAGAAAGAGAGGGAGAGAGAAAAAGAAAAAAGCAGGGCAAAGGAATACAGAAGATGACCATTTTAGTTTTATGCAATTTATTGCAACTAGTTAGGAGAAAATGTGTTTCAATAAGAGCAAATCTGTTCTAGCAAGGTGATGGCTGGGTCCCGGAGAGCTTTGTAGGTCTCACTCCGTGCCTAAAGCAGATCCTGTGATTCTTAATTTCCTCCTCCTTTTTGTCCATTTCATACGTGTTTGGAAACAGCCTGATTAGGGCAAGAATTTCAATTTGCAGGAAAAGGAGGAGGAAAGTCAAGCTGGGCACTATTTCCTTTCTCTGCTGATAATCAGTTCTTCAGTCTTTTACCTTTGGACCTATGCATATCTCAGACCCAGTGACCACCAGCTTATCTGAGAGCAAATAGAAGATTTCGGAGACCTGTTTGTGAAACAGTTTAAGAAGTTGCAGAGATGTGCACTATTTCATTCAATTTTACTCAGTTGTTTTTCAGGTTAGCAAGATGCCGCTCTGGGAATAAAATCTCACCCTTAAGGTTTGAGATAATTAGTGAAACGAGCGCATATGCATACATTTTCATTTCTGCACATACATGCAGATATTGGTACACATGATTTATTCCATTCATACATGTGTGATCTCTAATATTTAGACATCGTAAGTGAAATATTTGCTCTTTCTCTTTTCTCCCCCTTGGCAGATTTATGAATCTCTTCCTACAGCACATCAGGTTCAAGAGGAAAAATATCACAGTGATTTTGAGGCTAGGATACTGTTAAATATGTAGAGAATGGCTTAAAGGGAGAAGCTTTGTTTCTTAAATACTTCTCAGATGATTACGTGGATGAGAAAATGACGTGTAAATATTTTGAGCCATTTGAGTGAGTAGGAAGTGTTGAAACAAAGTACATTTCTTCCAGATTTTAAAAAAAGAACTCTCTAGCTCTTTTTTTCTTTCTCTGTTGGATATAACACCTTAGCTATTCAAATAATAAAACTATAACAAACTTCTGAAGAAATCATTGAGGTGATTGGTACATATTAATGCATATCTGACTATGTGGACATTTCATGTGTAGGTTTGTAAGTGAACCTAAGTGAGGTCATCTAGTTACGCTAAATGGCCCAGCCCCTCCTCTGTGTGACCACCCGCTGCTCTGCATGTACTCTAAACAGTTCACATGCTCTCTTGATTTATGGCCTTCGCTTATGTGTGTACTCCTCTATAGCTTGATAAATTAAAACTTTGTTCTATGAGTTTCTCTCCAGGAACAGGCTGACCACAGGCCGGAAACACACCTACAAGGTATTCATCATCAGTGACAGAAGAAAAGAACAACAAAGACCATGGAGTCCATCCTGCCTGAAGGCTGACATTTCTAAACCCCCTCCTTACTGCCCATTTTCCTGGTGTAACTGCCTCAAGATTCCATACTCCTTGAAGATGGTTTTTTTGAGACATTATTCTGCCATCTTTCTGATTATGCCAGCTAATTGAATTAAAGCGTCATTTCTTGGTCTCTAACGTGATTCATTGGCTCAGATCTCAGTAAGCAGAGAAATCCCATTGCTCTGTATCAGGTTTAGTCTTTATGTCACATGTTAATTAGGATTTTTGTGGTTTGAATAAAGCATCACATTTAGCTAAAATTTATTTCAACTCCTCTACAGCTGGAGATCTTATAAAACCTGAAACATATACTTCAAATCTATTGCTTCCTTGTGTTTCTTGGGCTTTGGTACTGTGCCCACCACCCTATATGAGCAGGACAAGTGCATCACAAACACCTGTGGAGTTGACCATTTTCGGGCTGGGTGTGTGTACACCTTTCTTTTGGTTACGGAGCAATTTTTCTTCTGAAGTAAGTTTCTTCTCTATTTCCTTCTTTCTATAACGGGTCTTAGAGTAAGCTGAACAGAAAGAAGGTAAGAAATGAGAAAGCTATTCTCTGCTAGTGGGAAGGTCAGTCTGAAAATGAGAAAACCCCTGGATTCTGCCCGCAGCAGAGGAACACCTGGTGGAATGGGCTCTTCTGTCTGATCCTGAGTTCAGATGCTCGCCCTCGCTAATTATCAGCGCTCCAGGGTTGGAGTTCATGGTCAAGTGAAAGAACACCTGGCATGATCTGGAGCATTGTCTTCATGGCCAATTTTGTTTTACTTAATTTTACTTTAAAAACCTAAATTGCAAGTAGTCACAATGATAAGAGTAGCTATCACTTAAATGATTTTTATGCGCCAGGCACTTTAAGTGCTTAAGACCATTATCTAATGTAATTCTCACAACTCTGTGAGTTACAAACTGTTTTCCATTTTTTTCTTTTGAGGAAGATTAGCCCTGAGCTAACTACTGCCAGTCCTCCTCTTTTTGCTGAGGAAGCCTGGCCCTGAGCTAACATCCATGACCATCCTCCTCTACTTTATATGTGGGACGCCTACCACAGCGTGGCGTGCCAAGCGGTGCCATGTCCACACCCGGAATCCTAACCAGTGAACCCCGGGCAGCCCAGAAGCAGAAGTGTGCACTTAACTGCTGCACCATCGGACAGCCCCTGTTTTCCCATTTTCACAAGTGAGAAACTGAGGCCTGAAGAGGTTGAGTAATTTGCTCAAAGATACACTGGCGGAAGTGGCAGAGCTGTAACCTAAACTAAGGATCAAGCTTTGTAACCTTCACACTTAGCCTCTCTGAGACTCACTGGCTCCAGTGTGGGACCTCCCATGAAGGTGGACCCACATCTAGACTGCGTATGCAGGCTACGTGAAATACCATAATCAATGTGTTTAGAAAGGCAGATCCTAGACAGGTCCTTAAAAGGAGGAACATAAGGTGACACAGGAACGGCCAGTCTTGAACCTAAGAAGTGTATCCTGGGCCCCATCCAGAGACTCTGCTTCAGGAGAGGCGGGGTGGGGTCCGGGAATGTGCAGGAGTAACAAGCATCCCGGTCTCGCCGAAGAGGTGGTTTAAGCACCCCGCGTTGAGATGCGCCACCCGGGAGGTTGCTGTGCCCCGGCAAGGGGACGCTTCAGGAGGAAAGAGAGAGCAGACTCGGCCTGAATCTCCTGACACCCGTGAAACGCGGGTAAGGATTGAAGGCATAAAGGGAACTTGGTAAATACGAAGGTGTGACGACCCGCTGAATTAAAAGTCCAGAGATGCATCATCATCATCACTCCTAGTTCCACGGGAGCTTGTTGCCATAGCAGCCGAGAGAGTGAAGCGCCATGGCGGGACTACTCCTGGCAGGAGCGGCGGGGAGGCGGCCCGTAGCGCTTGCGCAGACTCCGCTAATGCATCTTAATGCTTGAGTTTGATGCATCTAAACAAATTCAAGAAATTGAGCGTTTCATAGTAAATTGTGTAGCTGTGCCGTCCAGACTGAATTAGTGAGGATTAGACTCAGCTGTGACAGACAAAAAATCCAAAATAGCAAGTGGCTGAAAAAACGTAGAAATTTATCTTTCTCATGTGAAAGTCTGGGTAAGTGGCCAGGGCTGGTGTGATTGTTCACAATACCAGAGAATATTATGTTTCTTCTCTGCCTTGTTCTCTATTCTCATGTTCACCTTGTTGTCCAAGACGGCTGCTCTGGTTCAAGCCATCAAGTCCACATTCCAGCCGGCAGAAAGGAGTAAAAGGAGAAGCATCTCTTTAAGGATACTTCTGGGAAGCTGCATACACCACTCCCTCTTACACTTCTCTGTCCAGATCTTAATAACTTGACCATACCTATCTACAAGGGAAAATAAGAATGTAGTCTTTACTCTGGGAGGTCATGCACTCAGCTTCTGATTCTATTGCTATGGGAGAAAGGGAGGACAGATACTGCGTCATACCATTCTTGGCCACAGAGATTTTTTACATTTGGGTAGTTCCAAATGCTTAACTTTGGTATAATATTCAACTACTAGTCTTATTTAATGTGCCAATGAAATTGCCTGGCCCTAGTCACCATTTTTGAAGTTACTTCTAATTATATCTTTCCTGACATTCAAAAGTAAAGCATATTTTTCATTTCAAGCGTCTGTCTGCTTGATGCTTGACAAAATTCAGCCCACCTAGAATAGTGTGTCTGATTTGGGGATTCTTAAGACCCTTCTTCATTCCCTCATCCTTTCTGTTCAACATCTTTAGGCCATTTTCCCATTAGTCACAGTCTCAAATAGAGAGAGAAAGAAGAGTGAAAAAGAAAGAAAGTTTGGATCCAACAGTTTTGTTCTCAGCAACATTTCTAGAAGGGCTAAAGTAGAAGAGAGAGAAAATAAGTAATGCCAGATTGTGGGATTTTCTGCCAGAAAAACAGTCCCTCATGTAGGCTCCGGGCAAGGTCCTTTTCATTGCCATCTGTAATGATAGCTACAGCCCTATGAAGAAGGTGACGTCCCCCCCCCCCCCCCACTTTGGAGGACTGAAGAAACTTGCCACAGAACCAGCTACTAAGAGAGGGAGCCAAGGTTTTAGTCAAGATCTCGCTGACCCCCAAACCATGCTCTTCTGAAGGCTCCCCCATCCACAGATTCCATCTCACCATGAGTTTTTAAGCATCATATCACCACTGGAGAGACAATTTTTTTCTTTAACATTGGCCAACATTAAAGTAGACCTTGAAGATATAAACAAAGTGAAGAGGTCAGAGTGCTGGACAGCCAGCTCCTGGTGGGGGGGGGGGGTGCAGGGGGGGCTCTCTGCCTGCCCAGGTGTTGAGCGTTTTATTAGCCAACATTTAGGAGGCACTTGATGTTTACATGGGGGCCGCCAGGACTTCCAGCCCCAGGTGACATTGGAAGATGAGACAGAGTACTCCCTCTCCAGGATGCGTTGAAAGAACAAGGATGGTTTCAGACACCATTGTCTTGGCTTCTCATCCCACAGTGCTTGAAAGAAGAAAGTCACTGAGTTGGGTGGAAGTTTGAGTGGGATCCCCCACCCCAGCTTGGGATGGAACCTCTCACCCAGAGTATAGTAACAGAGCCCCCCGTGGAGTCAGCGCTTGCTCTGTGGCAGCCACTGTGCTAACTGCTTCTTCTTGGACAACCTCTGACTTCTGAAAGGCATTCTGTGGGAGAGGATATGGGATCTGGACCTGGAATCTCTGACTCCAAAACTCACGTGCTTAACCACGAGAGCATGACTTGTTCATGAGCACACCCCAGAGGCTGAGATGTGGGCAACTGGGAGTAAAGTCTGGAAAGAAAGGATGAGTAGAATAGATTTGAACATATTTAGTGGAAATCTTGAAGGCAAAATGCTTTCCAGTTGATTCCCTGAAACAGGTTCTCGGATTTGGCATTGAGAAGCCATGGATTCTTTTCTCAACTCTGTCCCAGAGATGGAGGGGAGGGGTAGGCAGTGAAGGGGGGACCCATCTCAGGACCTAGAAGGGGGAGTGGGCAGGTGAAATGAGACAGGAGGAACACCAGCCAGGGAGCATCACTCAGCACATTACCACTGTGGGCAGCTGGGGCTCGCTTCTGGGAGACTCTAGAGCACATCTCAGGACTTTCTCACTGAAAAGGAGGAAACCGGAGCAGTAAACCACCAATTCCTGTCCCCCATCAACTGAGGGCCACTTCTGGAACATTAACTCTCAGCACCTCTGTTCTATGAGTAGGTGCACACAGTTCTGGGTGGAGACGCCCCGAAAGCTGATGGCACATTCAGAAATTGTTTCAAGTGACCTCTGGGCCAGGCCAAGGGGATGCGGGTGGGGCCCTGACCCCTCTGCCTCCACTTGTCCCAGCTACAACATGGTACGTGAATATAATGTTGGAGAAGTCCAATAAAGTGCAACGTGTACTCATTATGAGATGACCACATTATAAACAATGCTGTGTTGTGGGTCATCAAAGCTCAGACTTCCTCTCGCCCACTTAGTGGAGAATAAAGTGATAAAGAGGACACTGTCGTATCATCTGTACTTCTTAACGCAATAACCTTTGTGCAGAAAAGGCTTGACATGGCCGGCCTGACACTGCTCTCCTTAGAAAGGCCTGCCTGCTAGCCTGCCCTTGGTGGGCCTCTGGGAACGTGGATTTTTAGAGGGTTCCTACCATTCCCCAAACTGCTAAGAGTGGCCCACTCAGCCTCAAACCTTTGTGCAGACAACGTGGTGTATGCTGAAGGCCTCTTCCTCTTGGGGCTCTGGGATTCTGGTGCCTGCTCCACAGAGGGTGCCTATGTGCCCAGCCTCGTAAAACGCTGGTACTGAGTCTCTTGTCAGGACCTTCCCTGGTAGACAACATATCAGAGTGTTGCCACGACTCCTTGCTGGAAGAAAGCAGAATGTCCTGTGTGACTCCACGGAAGAGGACTTCTGGAGCTGGTGCCTGTTTCTTCCAGACCTTGCCCCACACGCCTTGTCTCTGTGGATTTTGCTTTGTATCCTCTTGCTGTAATAAATCATAGCCATGGATGTGACTGAATCCTGGGGGTCCTCCTGGTGAATCATCAAACAAGAGGAGCCCCCAGCACCCCTTTATCATCTTGTTTTCATAGCTGGCTGCAGTGAAGGATGCCATCGAGCTGGGACCAGGGAGAGATTTGGGGCAGCGTTTATTGCATGACACCAAGACCAAGAACCACAAGATCCAAAGGGCTGCAGAGTTTCAGGAAATGGAACAGATGTGATAAACTTAGAACCTGAGAGCTGGACGCAGCCTTCGAGGTCACGTGTCCATTCACGGAGCACTGAGGTCTTCCTCTCTCTGGCCACGCTGCACCACCCAGCGGGTGTGGCTGAGCCCTGGCTGCTGTGAGGACAGCCCAAGAGGTGGTCCCCTCTGCAGAGTGTGAGCAGGAGACACTCCTCTCCCTCCCAGTGTCGCCCTTCTGCCAAAGGGTTTGCGCCACCTATTAACGTAACTTCCTGGATGGAGGAAAAGTATAATACTCGTGACCACTTCATGTGACCGCCTGTCTCTGGCCTCCCTCCTTCGAATGCCTGGGCCGGAGCAGCAGGCTTTGCTTCTGCAGCCCCGAGGGACGGCGTACACTCACCTGCTACACACCAGCACTGCCGTCGTGGATGTTCATCGCCGGCATCCGTTCTGATTGATCAGTGCCTGGACTAAATATCTCGATGTCACACCCTCCTCTAGCACCAAGCAACAAGGGTTGTGGCTTTGCTGTCGTAGGTGGAAGGGGTGCCTTCTCTGCACTCAGGAAAGCTCTCTGAGCGGGGTGCCCCACACTCTGCTCTTGATATATTAAAGCTGGGACAGAAGGGGATTCAGAAAATCCTCTCAAAGAGGAGGAGGGCCAGAGGAGACAGCCCCGCTCGTATGGCTAGTATCTGGCCGTCTAATCCTAGGTTGCCTACCAGGAGCTGCATGTTACCCTGCTCTTTACTTCACTTACAGTCCTAATCCTCTGCCGGGCAGATGGACCCTTGAGGCCAGCTAGGGCAGAGGTCGTGGACCCAGAGAAGCAAAGAGAAGAATGCCTCAGTAATTTTCAAAACATCATCCCATTACACTGTACTGAGTTGAGTTAAGCATCGGATCAGGCCCTGGGGACCCAAAGATCCACCTGCAGGAGAAGGATGGAAATCAAAAATTACAACCAGGTCATTAGCTCTAGGGTGGTGTTGTGTTCCAAAGGCCATGGAAACTCAGAGGACACGACTAAGCATATCCAAGGGTGCAGAACAATAACAATGATAACATTAGCTAGAATATATGGAGAGCTTATTTGCCAGGCACTGTGCTGAGCGACTTCATTTACTTCTCCCCAATAACCCTATGGCCTAGGTACCACTATCTTCCCCATTTTCCAGATGAGGAGCTGCAGGCACAGAGGGGTTAAGTACCTGTCCACGGGTGCCCAGCTGGCAGCGGTGGAGCCAGGTTTGGAGCGGACGCTCGGTCATAGCAACGTCAGTCTAAGTGGTTCTCTTTATTCTCTCCATCAAGGAAGACTTCAGTTTGGTGTCTGCTAACATTACCTTATTTGAGAGATGTGGAACCAAGGCCCATGGTCAAGTTCCTTGGCGCCAGGTCAGGGTTTCTTGCTTGCTCCCAGGCTGCCTTTCACAGGGGACCTGGCACTGAGGAAGGCTGGAGAGCTTCCACTGTAGGGTCCGGTGGGGCAGAGGTCGGGCGGGAGTCACTCGGATCTGGACTCCCACCCTCACTGGCCCGCCCGAGACTGTGGACAGCTCTGGGCCCAGAGGGCCAGCTCATGGGTCTCTGCCTCTGTGGGACCGAGGGCACAGCAGATAGACCCTGGCAGGGGCATCTGATGCTTTGAAGATGTTTTTGCTGTCCTTATGTTAATTTGGGTCCCCCAGAAGCAGATCCTGATACAAGCTGCTGAAGGAAAGACAGGCAGGGGAGAGGGGAAGCGGGACAGGGAAGGGAAGGCAGCAAGTCAGCGGTGCGTTTTCAAGCAAGTCACCCCCGTGGCGGCTGGGGCTGTAGGCCGGGGCCGAGAGCTGGGTGGTCCTAAAGGTGGGGCTGCTGTCCAGGGCGTTAACTGCAGGGCACTCGCGGCCGGCCCCCAGGAGGCCAGGCGGGTTCCAGGGCCGGGACAGTCCCAGGGCCACGAAGGCAGGTGCGGTGCTGGAGGCCAGGCCTGCGCCAGGCAGTGGCATGGGCGGCCGCTCCGGGCGGGCATCTCCACAGTCGTCTGTGGCCTGAGTGGGGGACAGAGCCCCGGAACGCGTGTGTGCCAGCTGCTCCGTGGCATTTCAAGGCTGTGACTCAGGGCACGAGAGCAGTGAAGATGCGGCTGGGATCCCGAGGCCCTGGCTCAAGCCGCACTCGGCGCCCAGAGGAGCGGTCTGTGGTCCGCGGCTCTGCCGTCACCGCCGCCCTGCGCGTCGCCCGGCCAGCCCTCCGCCCCCCAGATGCCGCCCGCGGTTTCGGAGCAGCCTCCGAGAGCTCGGGCCGAACTCCCCGGAGACGGGTCCTGCCCCTCAGGACTGCTGGCGTCGGGAGGCCGGGCAGGAGGCCCGCTTGCAAGAGCTTTGCCGCCTCCACCCCCGGCGTCATCTTTCAACCATGAGCTGACCAGCCCGTGTGGACAATGTGAATTCCTTCCCGGCCGGGTAGCTGAGGGTCGGTGGAGGCTGCTCGGCGCCTGCACCAGCGGCAGCGCGGCCGGCTTGGAACAGGGCCTTGCAGCCTCCTGAGGCCCCCGGGGGACGCGCGTCCTGCTGCTCCACGGTTTACACGACTATCTGGGCGTCGTTTTCCAAGCACACGCAAGTGCGCGTCTCCGAAAGGCTGGAAGCATTTTCAGCTGAGCGTGATCTCTCCTTGGACACCCAGGACAAAGGAGGATTTACGGTGTCTCCCACCCCAGTGTTCAAACTGAGCGAAAGTGTTTAAAGGAAAGTTCTTTCCCTCCCGGACCATGGTGTCTGGGTGTCAAGGAAGCTCACACCCAGAAGTCCTCTCCAGCGCTGTCAGCAGAGCAGCTGGGCTGGTAACTTGACTCTGAATGCAAAAGCACACCTTTTTGATGTTAATTCTCAGTGGATTATTTCAGAAACTAGGATAATGTGGCCAGAAGGAATTTTTGGATTTAGAAAAGTGTGATATTAATCGATGTTCTAAATTAGTGTTGAGTGCTGTGAGAGGACCCCGGCTGTTGATGCTTCTGTGCAGCTTATACCCTGCGTTGTTCTAGAGTGCCTGTGGCAGTCTGTGTGAATGGCGCCCCTGGAACTGGTCATTACACAACCTGAACAATCACACACCGCGACCCTGAGGGACCAATGAAGTTCTACATATGAAATTGTGTAACACTTTGCTAATGCTAAGCTGTTAACCAATACAAACTGGAGGAAGTCAACTCTTAGCAATTTCTTCATCTTTTAAAAAATTATTTTTATGTTAGCTTTTTTGTGTGTGTGAGGAAGATTGGTGCTGAGCTAACACCTGTGCCAGTCGTCCTCTATTTTCTATGTGGGACACCGCCATAGCACGACTTGATGAACAGTGTGCAGGTCTGCACCTGGGATCCGAACCCATGAACCCTGGGCTGCCGAAGCGGAGCGCGCAAACTTACCCACTACACCCCTGGGCCAGCCCCAATGTTAGCAAGTTTTAAAAGCTACGGTTAGCTATAAGTGTAACCCATTTTAAAACTCCTGTGTATCTTAAGGTAAATCTAATCTTTATCACTCATACTTAATGTATTCAATGTTGTCTCTAAAATCTCTTTGTTGGCTGATAAGCTCTTCTCTAGGCTCTGAATACTGGGTTCCAAATGCCTTCTCTTTGATGTAGAAAGTTGTCATTTGTGTTTGCTATGGGCCAGCACTGTGCACAGAACGTCCTGTGGTGATGGAAATGTCCTCTGTCTGTGCTGTGTGATAAGGTAGCCACTAGCCACACGTAACTATTGATCATTTGAAATGTGGCTAATGCAACTGAGGGACTGAGTTTTACATTTTATTGACTTTTAATTAATTTAAATTTAAACAGCCTCATGTGGCTAGTGGCCACTGTACTGCACAGTGAAGCACGCCCGTAGGCCCAGTCCCAGCCGTGATTTCTAACCCCATTAAAGTCAGGCCATCACAGCCCAAGGGGACCCTACTTAAGGGTACGATGTGACTTTGCTTTAGCTATAAAACGGCTTCATTTTTATGCATTACACCTTTCTAAAAAGCCCCATATATGGAGATAATTTTTATATCAAATTATATTTTTCCATTTAATCCTATTATAATTTCAAGATAGCACTGCTTCCAAAAAAACTTTGATTTCAGGATATAATAGATGTGATGCTTGAGAATATTAACACTTGCATTAAGAGCTTTAATAAGCTTGTGATCTTTATCAACATCTGGCCTTTTTTTTTTCCACCGAGAAAGATTCACCCTGAGCCAACATCTGTGCCAATCTTCCTCTACTTTTTAGTATGTGGGCTGCCAGCACAACATGGCCACTAAGAGAGGTGTAGGTCTGCACCTGTGAATGGAACTCAGGCCACTGAAGTGGAGCACACTGAACTTAACCACTAGGCCACGGGGGCTGGCCCACATCTTATCTTTTTATGTCTACGTTTCCTAGCTTACACCCATCCAAGAAAGGTTCATCAAATGGATCTTCCACTGTTATGAGCACTGTTAGAAGTATTTCTCTGTGGAAACATGCCGATGCCTTGTGTCTGGGAGTTCACGCCGGGCCCTTCATCCATTCTTGCCCCTGTTGTACTTGCTGCATCTTTGCAGGCAAGGCCGGAGTTAGGGGCTCAAAGTTCTGCGCTCCCGGTAGACACCGGGCCAAAGCACAGACATTTGCCAGGTCTTCCCTTCCCTTCTCTTTAGGTCCTAGCGGTCAGGAGCACTTGAGCATCGAGGCGGTGGGGAGGAAGAAGTCCTGAGCATGGGGATGGGGAGGGTGGCTTGCGGGGGATCCACCAGGGCTGGTCAGGAGGCGGCCGGCCTGCTGCAGGACTGCGGGGAAGCCAGTAAGACGGTCTCCGCCTCTTTGCAGAGTCCACAATCAGTGCTTCAGGGGGTGGGGGGCGGGGGTGGTGGTTGGTGCTGTGCAAACTGCTGCGGAAACCAGAGGGAGAAGGAAGGAAACTGAGAGCAGAAACCATAGGCAGACTGGATTTTTCCCTCAGAGAACTTTCTGGCGCGGCACCCTCAATCTGAGAAATCATGAGCGCTTTCGCAAATAAAAAGCAACAAACCTTCCTGCTAAAGACGGGCGAGTTTGTGACCTGCTCCAGGGCCAGTAATCCCACCTGGTGGTCAGAGAAGAGGCCTTTCAGGGAAGGCAGGTGGGACAGCCACGTGACCAGCAGACACAACAGACCCCCCCCCCCCCCCCCCCCCCCGCAGGTCTCCAGGAGAGATCTCTGACATGCAGCCTTCAGGCTCCCTTGTTTTCCAAAAGAGCAGAATGAGTAATTTTTGCCCCACACTCTGGTTGTTTAAAAACCTACATTGTTTAAAGATCTCAACTTTACACGCAAATAAAACGCTTCTAAATCACTCACGTCTTTTTCCTTTAATATTTGAGTCATCCATGTAAACGCTTCGCCGGGGGGAAGGGTGAGTGGTAAGGGCTTTGGAGGAACATAAAGCCCCGAAATATTTATGTTTCTTGCAGCTTTCCAGGTGGCAACGAATAGACCTATTTTACAGAGTGCCCACCACTGCCCACTTTGCACTGTGGACCTTATTTACTTAAAACGGTTCTCGGCATGCACGTTTTTGAACTGCTGCTGCCAGAACCTGCCTGCTGCTCGAATGGATGGCATACTGAGTATTTTAGGAATAAAATTTACCTAAAATAATTTAATAACAGTTTTTAAATATAATTAGATATTCCATTTAAAGTTTCCAGAGTCCCAATTGTCTCAAGAAGGGTAACATTTGTGGAAAAATTAGAAATTTTAACCTAGACCTGATAATTAAGGATATTAAGAAATAATTATTTTGTCTTGGATGTAATAGGATATTGCGGTTCGTTTTATGGTTATTTTGTCAGTCTTTATTTTTTATATATATTGTATATTTGCCTATGTATACACACGTATTTGGTGTATGTGATATATCTATACTATAGTATTTATGGATGACAGGATAGGATGTCTGGGATGTGCTTTGAAATAATACAGGAGTGGTGGTGAGTGGGTGGGATTTAGAGGAGATGAGATTGGCTGTGAATTAATTGTTATTGAAGTTGAGTGACAGGTATGTGGGAGTCTATTAAACTTGTCTGTTAACTTTTGTATGTGCTTAAAATTTTCCATAGGAAAGAAATTAATGAAAAGGACACAATACTGAAATAAACATTCAGGTGCATAACTCCTTATGTACATGTGACGGTTTCTTCTGGGCAAAAACTTAGAAGTGCGGCTTCAGCTCTTCCGGATAGTGCCAAGTTGCTCCCCAGAGTCAATGGCAGCCTTTGACAGGGACCAGGTCAGAACTCAGCTTGCCTCACTTAGAGGACGAGTGCCATCTCTGTGTTGGGCCTTTTTTACACGCTCTGTCCAGGGCGGGGAGGAGGAACGTGTGGGCGTGTCGGTCCTCCTGCGGGTGAGACAAGTGTGATAGCTGCAGCTGGAGTGGGTTAGTGCTTTCTGGAGTGCGAGCTCTTGCCTAAGTCCGCCTACTGCTCATGTTCCCACCTTTGAGCTCTCGTTTTGGGTGTAAGACACTAAGTTTATGAAAATCTACATAATCTGCTGTTTTTATTTTGCTACAAAGAAATACATGTTTATTACAGAAATTTATGACATTACAAATAAAAGGGAGAAAATAAAAACCAGCCAACCTACCATGGCTGGCAGTATTTTGCATTTACTCTTCAGTATTTTTCCTTTGCTAATACACTACATTCCATTGAAGTATGATTTCTTCACTTGAGACATTTTTTCCTATTATTAAACAGCCTTTTACAATATAGTTTTTGATGGTGGCGTGGTATTTTGTTGGCTGAAAATTGCATAATTCATTTAAATAATTCCTAATTTTCAGCACTTAGACTGTTTCCAATATTTCCCTACTTTTTCTGTTTTTGCCTTGTGCTCATTTTGAAGGACTCAGCACTTTGACTTGTCTCCAGGTGGAACCCTCCCCAATGTGAGTGATCACACGGGACTGTTTCAGGAGAAACACAGCACACGCCACGCAGTGGAAACTCAGGATCATCAGCCATTTCGCATTTGTGTTTTCTACCCTCTGGTCTTCTTTCCAGACAGTAGCCTCTTCTCTCTTCTTTCTTTTCCCCAGACAGTTTCCAAATGTCCCCCGTGATGTCCAGAGTTCAGAGTTATTCATCTCTGCACACTCCCTCAGCAAAGCAGAAAGTTCTGCAGTTAGCAGAACTAACCATCTTGAGACAGCAATTCACGGACCATCTATTTTCACTGAAATGTGTCCCTTGAAAGTTTCACCAAATGATTTCTCAAAGTATTATATGATCCATAACTACTTCCTTGAGATAAATTCTTAGGGAGGGAATGGCTATACCAGAGAGCATAAAAAATGTGGAGACTTCTGCTGATTTTTAATAATAAAGTGTGTTGATTTGCTTTCTGCCAGTGCTCCATCAGTCAGCGTTCAGCCAGGAGAACAGAACCACTGTGAGGGGTACCGAAAAAGGGATCTGTCATAGCGATGAGACTTTCCACAATCACGGAAGAGCTAAGGAAGTCAAGTTCTGGAAGGAGATTGGTTGGAGGATCAGAGAAAAGCCGCCAACCAGGGAGCGTGGAGGGGAGCTGCTAGGGGTTGGGCTGACATTGCTGTAGTTCAGCAGGGCAGGCAGTTGGGAGGAAAAGCTGGTGGTGAAGCAGAGGAAAATGGACAAGTGGAATGTATGAGGGCGAACTGTGTCTGTCTTTCACTGCATCTGACTCCAGTGATGCTGGTGGCATGTGGAAGAAGCTGCTGCTCACTGTGGAGCCGTACACGTGCCTGGCCCAGGACCAGGGGAAGCTGAAGGAGGCGATCTGGTGGGAGCTGAAGGAACCGCATAGGTGCTGCTGCCGGAGGCCGACGAGATGACCCTGCTGATCAGCACTGCGTGTGACCTGCACCAGCCGCTGCACTGAGCTTCCAAGCATAACGGCTGCTGTTGAACTTGTGGCTTCCACATCTTATGCAAATGTCTCTGTGTATAATCCCAGCTCGGAACAGTATGGGGAAAGGACTTTGGGAAGCATAGTTCCAGTTTAGCTCAGTTGACACAGAGTAAAACCACCACAGGTAGTGCCCGAAGGACTTCGTTGGTGCCAGGATAGAAAAATGAATTCTAGTGAATCTGGCAAGCATTTACTACTGTCCAGGTAAGATTGGAGATGGGTTGGGGTGAGGGGAAGCAAAGCCAAAAAGTATTGCTGATGGGTTTTTCTGTAAGATAAAAAATTTTTTGGAGTGAAAACAACCTCTGCACTGAGGATAAAATCCTACAGAGAAATTTTATACTTTTGAGTCTATCAAAGGAATTACTGAACCAAATGTTCTCAGGTCTGTTGCCAGAGGTATTGAAGAGCTAAGCATAAAAAGGCCACGTGTTTGTGTCATTTCCCTGAAACAGACTTAGTATGTATCTTGAGCTACTCTATGTATGGAAGTCTATATAAAGGATATGAAAAGATACCCTATCAATAATTAGATTGATCTCCAGTGATAATGGAGATTATGGAGATACAGCTAATCTGTTGTATCGTGAAGAATTTATTCAGTTACAAAAGTTGAACTTGCCTGTAACAGTGGTTCCCTTCCACCGCCCAGAGAACCTGTTGTATTTTACTGCTATCATAGGATATTTGTCATATGCTCCAACAAAATTCTGCTTTATAAAATTAAAGAATTCAGGGGCTGGCCCCATGGCAGAGTGGTTAAGTTTGCGTGCTCTGCCTTAGGCGGCCCAGGGTTTCACTGGTTCTGATTCTGGGTGCGGACATGGCACTGCTGATCAGGCCACATTGAGGTGGCGTCCCACATTCCACAACTAGGAGGACCCAACGACTGAAAATACACAACTGAGTACTGGGGGGATTGGGGGGGATTAAAGAATTCAAAATTGTAGTCAACTACTAAATTTTCTTGCTTTGGAAGAGACTTGCAGTGGTAAACACAAAAATTTTCAAATTATCCTGTTCTATGACATAATTATTTTCAGTTTTGTTGACAATGGTGGCAGCACGAAGCAGAGTGATAGAAAGGAGTGAGGGGGAGACGGAACCAGAATAATGCGGGTGGCGGAGTTTAAGGGACTCCATCTTTGTCTCCTTGTTCTCGTTATGGAGGTGAGTTCTCACTAACTTACTGTTACTAGAAGTATCAGTAAAGACAAAGATCCCTGCCTCTAGTATTGCCTAATTCTTTGATGCTTTTCTGAACATCATTTTGCTCAATTGTGCTGAGTTTTATCATGAGGATTCTTTGAGAAAATCCCCAAAAGGGGGTCAGACGTTATTGGTACAGCTCTGCAAAGATCTTTTATATTCTCATAGCAAGAGATGAGACTCACAGATTATCACCACTGCTCTTAAGTGAGGTGTACTGGCCAGCATTCAGCCAAAAATGACCCTGGACTGAGACTCAAGGACGCTTCCCAAACCACCCCACCAGACGGGGCCACCAGGGGAGCCGCCATCCCCCTGGAAATCAGTGATTCAGGAAGCTGCTCTACAGCTGCATCTGCTGCTTCAGCCTTTCCGGCCGTTCTCTGAGTGCTCCACATCCTTAACAACTGCTGTGTGTTTAAGCTAATTAAGGCGGATGCTGCCATCTGCAATAAGGACCATGACTAATGCAGCAATTGGCACTAGAATCTGTGTCCACACGGAGCAGTTGGTTTTTTCATTCATTCATTCATTCATTTGTATTATAAATGGTTTGCTATTTAGCAGTTGGCTTTTTCATTCATTCATTCATTCATTTGTATCATAAATGGTTTGCTATTTAGCAGTTGGCTTTTTCAACCCTGAGAGTCAGCTGGGTCAATGTAGATTAAAGGCCCCAGCAGAAAGCACCTGCCTTGGCAGAGCCCTACTGCCCTCCCTCTCTGCTTTCAAACTGGTTAGGCCTAGACTAATTCACTGTTTGTTGTTGAGTCTTCCTGAAGAGGACAGAAAGCAGTCAACACTTGCCAGCATACTCTATTTTTCCAAAAGCTGCAAGCCTGGTTGGCACCTTTCACTAAACTCCCCAAAGCAGGAGAAAGCGAGCCTCTGATCTGTCTCTTCTCTAGCCCGGAGCCGTGTAGACAACTGGATCCTCTCTCCTTCGGGCAGAGAGTAACGTCTGAATATTGTGTGGCATTGACTGATGGAGAATAAAACCGCATGACCCATCTCTGGAGCCAGACCCCAGTTAGCGACAGCCTGAAGCTCACGTAATTCAGGGACTTCTTAAAGAAAAACAGTACCACAAATTACAAATGCGGAATTTGTTACAAAAGGAACGCTTAGAATTGGAAAGAAATCACAACAAACTACACATTTTAAAAAGCAGACACATATCAGAAACTTCACAACATGAAGAAAACAACATAAGAGGCAATTAATTGTGTGCCTGGCAAAAGTCTAGAATACTTTCTCCCCCTAGGTTTTTGGCTAGATAAAAAAGGACACGTAGCGAAGTCAACAGAGTCACTAAAATGAAGCAGCTTACTCTCCAGTGTGCATGGGGTCTCGAGCTTGCTCCACTGTCACACCAACTGCCTTTCCTTTACCCACGGTCCATCTCCCTTCCTCCTGTTTCCTGTATCAGAGTGTCCTGACTCTCCTACTCACCTTCAGCTTTTCTATTTGAATTTTCATCTACATTTTATTGGTTATTGTGATTCTTTTCTCCCCTGTCTTCATGATTTTGACCATCAAAGGGTTTTAGTTTCCATTATCTTCTAATAGCAAGAGAGTTTTTGACACTTTCAAGTTCTGCCAATCTTCACTTTTTGATTTACATTATTGGCTTCAAACAGGATATTTCCTTCCTGTCATATTTATTTTGGAATGATCAGTAATTCTAAATAAAATATATAAAATTAATCTGAAAATAAGGTCCATATGAGCATTCCAGATGCATTTTGAAATCGCTGTCAACTTAAGAAGAAAATTCGCCTGTTATTTTATGCTTAAAATGAGTTTATTTGGGACCAGCCCAAAGAATTGCAATTCAGGACATGCATGCTAAGGCAAATCATAGGCAAATCCAGAAAACCAAGGAGGGAAGCTGCTTCTATAGAGAAAAGGGGGGAGAAGGGAGGGGCTGTTCCAGAGGAAAGTCCACTGAGGGCAAGTAACAGTTCAGGGCGGCAACGGCTTCTCATTGGCTGAGCTGTTGCTGGGTGGGGAGAGGAGTCTTCCTGCAGTAGTAAAGCAGTTTTACCTCCCATCCAAAACGCAGGCATCCATCGCCTCCTGGTTGGTGTAATTGACGATGTATGATAGGGCGTTAGAGCTCCCCCTACGGGTCTTCCTGACTCCAATTTAGTTAGGGTTTCTTTTATTAATTTCCACCCCACCAAGTTGAATTGTCTTATACAGTGAGGTAATCAAATTACACTTAAACAGTATCCAATGACCTATTGATAAATATGTATAGGAGTTTTGTCACTGGAGCACTGTTTCCTTTTTTCCCATTTCTGAGCATTGGCCGCAGTTCTACCTGCGTCTCATCAGGCACTGTCGGACTGTCAGGATAGGATGCACTGGATGCGCTAAGGAGCAATCTGACTCCTCGGGATGCATAAAACACGGGACCTCAAACAGCAAGTGTTTGTTCTACTGTTTGTATGCCATACACACAGGAATTCTGACAAAATCCATTTTGTGTAATTTCCAACAAACAAAGTAATTGTACAGTAGGTTTATAATTGTACGAGCTGCACTGAGTATTCCTAATAAGAGGACTTTGACCAGGGGTCCTCTGCTTACAGTTTTACACATCTGAGGATTGGAAGAATTTCCCACAGACTGGCTTCTGGCTGCCTGCATTTCAGTCCTTGTTTTTCCTCCATTGTCCTTATCCTCGCAGTGGCAAGTGCTGAGGAGCCTTTTCATTTCCTGATACAGGCTCTGGCCAGAGGTCTTCATGCCATGATGCTCAGTGTTGGCACAGTGGGCAGTAGTGGCATTCCTGGAAGCCATCCCTACCGAGGGACGGCTAAAGCGTGCACAGATGTGACTGTGAAATGTGTAAATGGTCCCAAGCTCAACCCGAGCTGCATGTATCACCAACTCTCCTTCAATGGTGTCCCCAGACACCTGCGGCCACTCCAAAACCACAGGAAGGAAAGTGTGGGGGAGGAAAAGTCAGAGTGCAAAGACACAGTGGAACTGACCAAGTGAGCTTAAAAATCTTATTTTTGCAAACTTTACAAAACGAATGGCATGTGAACTCATTGTGAGAGGTCTTGCTGGGCCCTGAAGGGTGTGGGCAGAGAGGGACCCCCGAGCTTAAGCTTCATTGTCTTTTCAGGGAATCTCCTCTGCTGCTTTCTGTCTTTGGTGTTCTGAGACTTCAGCTTTGTTGGATTTAAAAGAATTAAGGTGCAGGCACAGCTGGTCCCAGAAAAAGGAGGTACTTGCAAGTTTGTCAGACCCTAAAATAGGAGCTTAACACTTTCTGAGGTTCATTATTCCCATCAGTGAACGTAATCATTCTTTCCAACTGCATTCTGTCCTCTTATTGTTGATCTGGCCTCATTTCCAGCATGAAAGGAAAGAGTGTTAAGACTATGAAGAGTCTGAGATTTGACCCTACTTGCAAGCCAACAAGTTAGCCTGCCACAGTTTCATCGATAGTGGCAGCAGGCACAAGATTCCTGGACTAGAGACAAAGGATGCTATCACTCACAGCACAGAAAGCAGCCTGAGCAGCATAATGCATCAATGCCCTTGTCTCCAAGTCCCATGGGGGTGATGCAGATGCGCCCAGGCGGATGTCTGCACATGCAGCGTTTGCATCGCAGAAGAGGCACTCTGAGCTTAGCGAACACAAATCTTTTCCAGTGGGCAGTAAGCATGCCTGCCCTTTGCTCCAGAGGAAGGCCCCATCTCTGTCTCCCAAGGCTGTTGGTTCTTCTCTGTCCCATGTGGGCCTCAGCTGGGTGGGCTCAACTGGGGTTGGAGGGTTCATTTCTAAGGTGGCTCACTCATAGGACTGGCAGGTTGTTGGTGGCTGTCACCTGAGAGTTCAGTTCCTCTCCACAAGGGTCTCTCCACAGGCAACTTAGGCGTCCTCACCGTGTGATGGATTCCAAGAGTGAGCATCTAAAGGGAGCTGGATGGAAGCTGTGTGGCCTTTTATAATGTTAGCTCGGAAGTCACAGAATGTCATTTCTGCCCTAGCCACAGCCCATCCGGATTCAACCAGAACAGGCCCAATCTTTTGATAGGAGGAATATTAAAATTGCATGGTATTGGAAAATGGAAAAATATAGAGACAGTAAAAGGATCAGAAGTTGCCAAGGTTTCAGGGCAAGGGGAGAGGGATGGGTAGGCAGAACATGGGGTTTTTAGGGCAGTGAAACTCTTCTGTGAGGTATTGTGGTAGTGCATACAGATCATTATGCATTTGCCTAAACCCTTAAAAGCGTAGGACGGGGGCTGGTGGGGTGGTGCCGCAGTTAAGTGCGCAGGTTCTGCTTTGGTGGGTCGGGGTTCGCTGGCTCGGATCCCGGGTGCGGACATGGCACTGCGTGGCACACCATGCTTTGGCAGGCGTCCCACATATAAAGTAGAGGAAGATGGGCACAGATGTTAGCTCACAGTCAGTCTTCCTCAGAAAAAAGGGGAGGATTGGCAGACGTTAGCTTAGGGCTAATCTTCCTCGAGAAAAAGAGAAAAAAAAAGCATAGGACACAAAGAGTGAACCCTAACGTAAACCCTGGACTCAGTTAATAATGTAATTGGTTCATCAATTGTAACAAACGTACCTCCTAATGCGAGCACTTTAAGTTTATTCAACCATTTAATAACATGTATCATTCATGGTTGCCAGATGGATTAGCCCTAAGCTGAGAATTTATTGTTCCTGGTTTATTGTACGTTAAAAGGAAATTTTCTACTTCCAACAGCACTTGCCCAGGAGACATGAGAGTGGAACGCCATGTGCCACCGCAGCTGGTTCTGGCAGCTGGAACTGACAAATGACCACGAGCCTTGAGTGGCCTGGCAGCACCAGACTCCGGACCTCACTGAAGACCTTCCTGACCGTCAACAGTGGGGCTGTTCTAACCTACAGTGGACAGACTGCGGACTCAGTCCTCCGAAGGATTCTCTCCCGAATTAGCATAACCGCCCTGAAACCTCCTTCCTTACGCAGCCTCTCTGCGTTTCCCGCTCTGTGCGTTCCTCAGTTGTTACTCACTGGTGGGTGTTTCCTCGCCTGATGAATTTTTTCCCAGGCACTGGCAGTCTTTGTTTTATTCTTTGGCATGTAGGAAGCCAGTTAATAGGTGTTTTTATTAACTTTCAGTGCTGTTTCCATGTGTGTTTCCCTCTCGGGTGAGCGAGGTGAGGGATGACGTCTGTGGGCGCAGATGATGCCCTTCTCGGTGCCTCAGTGCCCTGTGACCACCCGCCCCTTGCCAAACGGATCACTTATACAATTTGGGGGGGTCCTGTTTAACGAAAAGAACAACAAACCTTCAGCAAATTTTTATTTGCAAACAACAAATATTTATTTAAAGTGAGAAAATAGAACCCAACAAATTACAAATTTAAAGCAGGCGAGAAACGCCGCTTCCTAACCGGAGCGCACACGGCGTTGCCTTTCCGCCTTTGGAGCCGCCACAGCAGCTGCGCAGGCGCAGGGCCCGGACGCTGGAGCGGCTTCGGCTTCGCGCGAATCCCCTGGACGCCGCCGCCCGGCCGTCAGGCCCCGCCCCCGGCAGCCCCGCCCCGCCTCCTCTCGGCGGCTGGGAGGGACGCCAGGTTCGTGGACTGAGAGAGGCTCAGGTGTGGGGATGAGCCCCGGGTTGGGGACCTGGGCCTCTTCCCTGTGCGTAGCCCCCTCCTTGGAAATCAGTAGCCTCTCGGAGCTGTGCTTTCTTCTTTATAAGATGGAATCGGAGGACGTGCAGGCTCGCCGCCTGTGGTTCTGCAGGAGGGGTCCAGGGATGCGGTGAGGGAGTCCTACGCTTCACAGCCCCAAGTCCGCGAAAACCTGTATTGTTGGTGCGGAGCGGGCTCTAGTCTAAGGAAATACGATCTACGATCCTCTCTGTACAAAGAAACGTGACTAACCGGTAATTTAAGATGTGGAAACCATCTTCCTCACCAAAAACAAAAAGCATAAAAAAAGGGAAGGGAGATATAGAAATTTATGCATGTGTCTACAGATGGGTAATCAGTGGTTTTCAGTGATAATAAAGAGCATTTCTTCACGGAGAATGGTAGGGGTCTCTTTGAAGGCTGTTCTCCAGATGATTCCAGAGACTCACCTTGAGGGTGGGTTCTGCTTCCCTTGTCTGCGTTCCCATTGCTCAGCCCTGTGATGGGCCTAGAGCGGGCTCCATGGATGTTTGATGAAGAAACACGTGTTACAGCAGAATCCCATTAGACTGAAGTGGTGTCTAAACATTGCACTTACAGCGCATCTAAACTGACCTTATTCTTCCTTCTTCCTCCCTCCCTTAAATATAAGCTTTTCCCATTCTAAGGTCTGGGATCTGCCCCTTGGGACCATCACAGGCCTCCCCGTGGCAATTAAGCCCCTTTACTCAGGAAAAACAAGTGAATAAAAGCTCTGTTTCCCGGGTTGGAACTGCAGGCTGGATCCGGGACGGGGCTGGATTTCAGGGCCCGAAGAGGCGGAGCTCGGGTGCGAGCGGCAAGGTCCTGAAGAGCCGAGCCTGGCTCCCGGGGCGGCGGGACCTGGGGGCTGGAAGCGCGGTGGAGTGGGTGCGCTGGCCCAGGGCGTGCAGGAAGCTCACTCCTGGAGAAACGACTAGGGTGGCCAAGTGGTGGGCCACGAGCTCCTGAAGGAGCAGGGGCAGCCGGGACACCAGATGCTGACAGGTGCCCCGCCCGCCTCCGGATTCTCTCGGGGCCTGATGCTCGGAGGGAAGGGCCGTGTGATTGGAAAAGGGACAGACGCTGGACGTCCCATCGGGTCAGGAGAGTGGATACTGAGAAGGCCTGCGTTCTAGTTAGGCAGTAAAGACGTGGCGCCATTCGCACCGCTCTCGCGTGGAGCGCTGGGCAGAATGGACAGGTGGGCACTTCCTGCTTAATCAGGGGAGGCTAGCTGGAAGCTGCCTTGTAGTTTGGCAGACTGCAGCCTGGACAGCAATCTCAGAGGTGGGGGAGGCTGGTTGGTGGAAAGTTGGGTCACCAGGTGGAGAATCAGACACTCTGGGGGTGGAACGAGCGATAGGGATGGAGGCAGCGTTGTGGGGGGGGGGGGGGGGGAAGCAGCAGAGTGAAGCTCTCGGGCAGGTATTTGAATCTCATCCAGGACACAGCTGGTCTCAGGGGAAGCTTCTCCTCGATGCCCGTCAGTTCAGGAGCTGGGTCCGGCCTCAGAGAAGCACCAGGTTGTTCGGGGCGTTGTAACTTACGCCTTCGAACATCCGGTGCGGCTTTATGCCATGAGAGCAGGCGCTGCTGTCTTCTGGGGCTTCCAGTGCCTTTCGGGGTTCTCAGCGTGCGCTCATCCAGGGACCCTGCGGGTTATCACTGAAGACCCCTTGGGAAGACTTCTGCCAGAAGGTGCTAGAGCATCTGCTTCAGGCTCGTTCAGCCATCTTTTCAGATCTTTATCCCAAGGTGCGCTAGGATCAGTGCTCCTGAGTATTCGGCCAGACTTTCTTGGGACAGTTTTAAGCCACATTCCTCCAATCCAGGTTGTCTCATGGCTTTGGAAGACACCCCAGGTTCCAGGGCTGTTCTCGAAGTTTCCCCCACACTTCAACCTAGTGGTTGTGTGGTGATTTGGGGAACAAATCAGGATGACCCAGAAATCCGCATTCTGTTTTTGAACAGGAACTTGTGGCAACCCTTTGAGGGTTCCTGATGCTGGGAATTCTGCAAGAGACAGATAGGTCTCTCTGTTTTGAGGGCAGAGTTCTTGCCTGTGTGTGTGCTGTGCGGTGTCCGTCGATCGGCTGGCTTTGTCACAGCACTTTGCAGCTGTGATTCATGTAACATTTCATTTCAAGAAATGGCATTTCTTTAAGACTCTGCTGTAAATTGAGATGAGGCGATAATGTGTTTTTAAAGTACTTAAGAGAGTTAGAGACTCCGGTGAGGTCACATGTTACATGTTACACGGAGCTGTTGACAGGCCGCATGAAGATTCTTGGCATTTAAGGAGATTACGAGTGAGGGAAGATGGTTCTGTCAAGTCACCTTCTGACGTGGAGCTCCCTGCAGTCCTGGTGTGAGAGCCCCGCCTCGGGCCTAGGAGAGGAGAAGATGCCCTGTGGGGCTTGCTGGTTGCTTTTCTCAGATTCATCGGCTGTGCACGGGGGACAGTTTTGAAGGGAGGAGTTTTGCCATCACCTCACTCTCCTCTTTTCCTCCCGTCTTGGAATTCCACGTTGGCTGGGAGGCAGCCCGGTGTTCTTTCCATTCGATGTTACAGCACCTCCTGTCACACGGAGCAGTCTCCAGGTGACGGAGCATCTCCAGTCCTCAGCCTGTGGCTTGTCATTTTGAGTAATATTGATGAGAGGCCTGTATAAAAATTTGGCATGTGGGGCTGGCCCCGTGGCCGAGTGGGTAAGTTCGCGCGCTCCGCTGCAGGCGGCCCAGTGTTTCGTTGGTTCGAATCCTGGGCGCGGACATGGCACTGCTCATCAGACCACGCTGAGGCAGCGTCTCACATGCCACAACGAAGAATATACAACTATGTACCGGGGGGCTTTTGGGGAGAAAAAGGAAAAAATAAAATCTTTAAAAAAAAAAAAATCTTAAAAAAAAAAAATTTGGCATGTAAGAACATATAAAAGTTTATGTGACAGAAATTCTTTTGGAATGTCTGTTAGGTTTGAGTCACTTAGAAAAACCACATATTCCTATATGATACAGGAACAGTTTTTCTTTCCGTTCTTTTTTTAAAAGTAATTTTCCTCTTTTCAATTCTTTCCTTTCTAATTAAATTTTTATTTTTATCAAAGTACTATCTGAATCTATCTTTTTCTCTTTTTTTGGAGGAAGATTAGCCCTGAGCTAACTGTCATATTTAATATTCCATATTTTATATTGTAGCATATATGCAAAAAATCATTAACATATTCAAATTCTGGAAATCCAGAACAGGTCAGACCCCATATATTTGGGTCAGTAGTCTTTTTCCATACTTCTTAGCATCTTTTTCTTTGTATATAATTGAAAAATAATAATAAAATTTGATCACTAATGTATATTTTCAATGATCAATTAAAAATTAGGTAGTACTAAAATTTTTCATCCCCTTTCACCCCTGTATCCCACTTCCCCTTTGGGAAAATGTTTTTAACTGTTTATTCCAATATTTGTTCAAAGAATATGCTTACACTGACGTTTCTTTTTTTTTGAGGAAGATTAGCCCTGAGCTAACATCTGCCACCAATCCTCCTCTTTTTGCTGAGGAAGACTGGCCCCGAGCTAAGATCTGTGCCCATTTTCCTCTACTTTATATGTGGGACACCTCCCACCGCATGGCTTGACAAGTGGTGCCATGTCCATACCCGGGATCCGAACCAGTGAACCCTGGGCCAAGCGGAACGTTCACACAACCACTGCGCCACCAGGCCAGCCACTACAATGATATTTCTTGGTTCACTGATTTTAGACATTTTCTCTTGTCTTCCGGTTTGGCTACCGAGGATTTAAATTTCTTACACTGCGTCAGTCCCCTGCCCCTCATCACACACACTTTATCCTTTCTTCCTATTTTGTTTTGTATCAAAACGTTTTCTACAAAATCTACAATCAGTGTTTACAGCATGTCTTGGCAAGGTGGAAAGACTCACTGGAGCTGCCCTGAGAGGGTCACCTGAACTGCGCTGTCTACACCTATAATGTTTGCATGCGGCCAAATTCTGGCTGTTTTCATGTGTGTGTGTGTGTGTGTGGCCTCTGGGATGTGTGGTATTCGTTTTCTCTTCCTCTCCCATCCTGGGCCAGTTTGCCTTCTCCGGGTTAATTGCACGTCTTTGACATTATTCTGGAAATTAGGCCATCCTGGCTGTCTCAGACAGAGCCCCCTCAGCTCTGAGTTGTCCCGGGGTTGTTTTCCTCAGGGGCACCGAGGCAAAGATCTTCAGAGTCTCCCTTCCGAGACTTTCCAGTTGCACTCGCTTATGGGATTGACAAATTCAGGTTTTTCCTGCTGTCTTAGATACTGTGCCACTGTCACCTTGCAAAAGCAAACGGTACAACATGTACCGTGCTTGGCTCACAAGACCACTAGATCACATTTGGGTCCCTGTTCCTTGTTCCCGGTGCTGGTGGCTGCCTGATGGTACATGTACCTGAGAGGACCCCATCTGATGTCCCCTGTGTAGCAGTGAACTCAGCAACCATATCTCACCCAGCATCCTCACTGCGTGGGGTCGTTGTCGCAAGGTCACTGGCCCCAGGATGGAGAGTGAGACTATAGTGGGGAGCTAGGGAGACGGGATCAAGGCCCCTGCTGTTGCCTGTGGCTGTGACAGTACCCAGCCTGTGGGACTGCAGCTGAAGTGGGAGCTTAGATCAGGCTCCTCTGGGGAGGATTAAATTCCGTTCTTGTTTCTGAAGAACTTGCATGTGTGAGCCCGGCATTGTCACTTTGGCTGATGAGTGTTAAAAGAGAGATAAGAACCCTGGCTGATTTCCTGTGAAAAGCTCTTCAGGAAAAAGATTACACAGCACCCAGAGCTGACTGTACCGTCGTTTAGTCCCACCCGAGTCCCCAGGGCCTGCGAGCTCCCAGGGCCTGCGAGCTCGTGCCAAGCTTCACTAATGTCTGTCGATGCCTTTGTTCGTGGAATCACCGTGATGGCGGTGATCCTCGCTCCTCCTTCCAGCTCTGAGCACTAAGCAAGTCTTGGCTTTGCTCCTGCCACTTACTTACTCTCCCCTGGCTCTTGGTCTCAGACTTGTCCCGTCTGTTCTTCCCTATTTACTTATGGTTTGGTTTGGAAATCAGGATATTGGCTACAAAGGTTTAGAGCCTTGGAAATAATTTGCCAAAGTAACATCCCTAAGGTTACTTTCTGGTTGCTTGGATTAAGCTTTCATCTCCCTAATCCAGTAGGCAATGGTAGCATCACTAATGGTGGGTGACCAAGTGTTTCGTGTCCCTGACGTGGCGCAATAGGAACTGTGCCACATCTCCTCTGACGGATTTAGCCAGGAAAGGATTGAAGCTAATCTTTCAGATCTGATTTCCAGTGTGCAGGGAATGTGGGGAGGCGAGAACA